GATCCACTTACCTTGGCCTCCCAAAGTGCTGGGATTACAGGCGTGAGCCACTGAGCCCAGCCTGTTTATTTTTGTTAGACAGGAGCTGAGCTGATGCTGAGATGCAGGCAGGGCCACAGATTGCTGGCGTGTGAGTGCAGCAGGGTTTTGTTTCATTTCCACATGAACACCCAAGGGTTCTGCTCCTCAGCGTGCTAAGAAGTTCTTCCCTGTTTTTTTTTGAGACGGAGTCTCACTCTGTAGTCCAGGCTGGAGGGCAGTGGTGCAATCTTGGCTTGCTACAACTGCCACCTCCCAGGTTCAAGCGATTCTTCCACTTCAGCCTCCCAAGTAGCTGCGATTACAGGTGCCTGCCACCACACAAGGCTAATTTTTGTATTCTTAGTAGAGACACGGTTTCCTCATGTTGGCCAGGCTGGTCTTGAACCCCTGACCTCAGATGATCCACCTGCCTCAGCTTCCCAAAGTGCTGGGATTCCAGGTGTGTGCCACCGCCGGTCAAGCCTCTGCTTTTATTTCTGTTCCTCATCGATGCTACTTACAAAGGTCCTCTGAGCTGCTCGCTTGGGCGCAGGCACGCCTGAGATTAGCGGGCGGTGGTGCTTCTGCTCTGTCCCATCATTGTGGGTTCATTTACTAAGAACCCTTTTTTTTTTTTTTTTTTTGAGGCAGAGTCTCGCTCTTGTTACCCAGGCTGGAGTGCCATGGCGCGATCTCGGCTCACCGCAACCTCCGCCTCCTGGGTTTAGGCAATTCTCCTGCCTCAGCCTCCTGAGTCGCTGGGATTACAGGCACGCACCACCATGCCCAGCTAATTTTTTGTATTTTTAGTAGAGACGGGGTTTCACCATGTTGACCAGGATGGTCTCGATCTCTTGACCTCGTGATCCACCCGCCGCGGCCTCCCAAAGTGCTGGGATTACAGGCTTGAGCCACCGCGCCCGGCCCTGCTTTAAAGTACTTCCTAGCAGACAAGACTCCCTCGCATGTTGGGTGCTGACACGGGTATTCCGCGTCCTCCTCTCCAAGTCTGGCACCCTTGGCCAGTCCCTAGGACCACATGGCTCCTGAGTGTAAAAAAAAGCGAAGTCATTGCAGGCAGCCACTTGTCATCCTTGCAGAGGTGGGGTGGTGGTGCCGCCAGGTGGTGGTGGAACTGGCCCCTTGGCAGGTGTTCTGAAGACCCCTTGCTTGTGATGGGAGCCCTGCAGGCCCTCTCTGCCGAGACGCTATTGCTAGCTCTGCTGAGTGAGGACGGGGTAGGGCTGGCAGAAGCTCTACAGGCAGAGGTCCTGCTGTGCAGGTGGGTGCCCTGCACCCTGTACCCTGCCATGGGACAGCTACACGACCTGGGACCCAGGTACCATCGTGTGGGGGATGTAAATTGGGAGGCAGCGAGGAATAGCATCAGATGCCCCTGGTGGGGTCCACAGGGAAGCCTTCAACCTTGGGGAAGGCTCAGTCCTGGACCTGGGTGACTTGTCCCCTCCCCCACACATTCCTCGGTGACATCTGGTGGCCAGGGAGGCTGCTGCTCATTGACCTCTGGGCTGCAGTCAGCTCCCTCCTCTCAGGAGCTTGCCCAGGGCCTCTGAGGGTACAGGATGGCAGCCCTTCTCTGCACTCCGGAGTCCCTCTTCTGCCAGTTTAGCCTCTGTGCCTGGGGACCCTCACCTGTAAAGGGCGTGGCCACCTAAGCCTCAGGCAAGAACATGCTTGAATGGTGGGATCTTTTGCAGACTCCTGGCTGCTACAGGGGCACGGCTGCAGCTCTTCACAGGCGACAGTCTGCGGCATCAATCTGTGTAGAAATGCCAAGCGTCCTCGGGGCGTGGTGGCTCACGCCTGGAATCCCAGCACTTTGGGAGACAGAGGCCAGCAGATGACAAGGTCGGGAGTTCAAGACTAGCCTGGCCAATATGGAGAAACCCCGTCTCTACTAAAAATACAAAATTAGCTGGGCATGATGGCGCACACTTGTAATCTCAGCTAGTTGGGAGGTTGAGTCAAGAGAATCACTTGAATCCGGGAGGCGGAGGTTGCAGCGAGCCGAGATCGTGCCACTGCACTCCAGCCGGGGCAACAACAGCAAAACTCCATCTCCAGCCCCCCTCCCCCAGAAAAAGCCAAGAATCTTATGTATTGGTTCAGAGAAAAACATTTTAAAAGGGCCCCAATTTTGTTTTTTTGAGACTGAGTCTCTATCACCCAGGCTGGAGTGCAGTGGTGTGATCTTGGCTCACTGCAACCTCCGCCTCCCTGGTTCAGGTGATTCTCATGCCTCAGCCTCCTGAATAGCTAAGATAACAGGTGCCCACCACCACACCTGGCAAGTTGTTTTTTTTTTTTAAGACTGGGTTTTTGGCCAGGCTGGTCTTGAACTCCTGACCTTAGGTGATCTGCCCACCTTGGCCTCCCAAAGTGCTGGGATTACAGACATGAGCCACCACACCTGGCCTCGCCTGGCTTTTTTTTTTTTTTTTTTTTTGGCAGTCTCACTGATCTTCGCTCACTGCGACCTCCACCTCCTGGGTTCAAGTGATTCTCTTGCCTCAGCCTCCTGAGTAGCTGAGATTACAGGTGTGTGCCACCATACCTGGCTAATTTTTGTATTTTTAGTAGAGATGGGATTTCACCTTGTTGGTCAGGCTGGTCTTGAACTCCTGACCTCGTGATCCGCCTGCTTCATCTTCCCAAAGTGCTTGGATTACAGGCATGAGCCACCATGCCCAGCCTAATTTATATATTTTTTTTTTAGTAGAGACAGGGTTCCACCATGTTGGCCAGGCTGGTCTCCAACTCCTGACCTCAAGGGATCCACCTACTACCTTGGCCTCCCAAAGTGTTAGGATTACAGGTGTTACCCACTGCGCCCAGCCATGTGGGCCCCAATTTTCAATCAAATACAGTTAAGAACTGCAGTCAAGCCACCAAGGATCTCCAGTGGGAAGTTCCAGAACTGCGGGGGAGGAGGCACTGACTCAGGCCTGGCAGCTCCACAGAAACCATCTTCGGTTGAGATGGAGTCAGGGTCATGCAGCAACAGGGTGTGGGCAGACCTTGGAGGCCTGTGCCAAGCCTGGGGCCTATCCCCACTCCACCCCAGGCACTCTCAAAAGACATTGAGTTGGGAGGCCCAGGCAGGTGGATCACCTGAGGTCAGGAGTTTGAGACCAGCCTGGCCAACATGGCAAAACCCCATCTCTACTAAAAATATAAAAATTAGCCGGGCATAGTGGCGGACGCCTGTAATCCCAGCTACTTGGGAGGCTGAGGCATGAGAATCGCTTGAATCCAGGAGGTGGAGGTTGCCATGATCTGAGATTGCGTCACTGCACTCCAGACTGGGTAAAAAGAGCGAAACTCCATCTCAAAAAAATAAAGGCATTGAGAAGCCAGAAGCCTGTTTCCATGGGTGGAGCACACCCACCACGTCCACTGTGATGTGAGAAGCAAACAGCTGTATGGGCCGCTGGGAATGGATGTGCTAGGGCTGCGACGGGCAATTCCTTTGTCTGGAGCCGAAAACAGCCCCGAGGAACTGAGCCGAGTCCCAGGGCCCTGGCCGAGAACACAAGCTGCTGGGTTTGTTTCTTCTTTCTTTTTATTCAAGATGCTGCACCTGCCGTGTTTTTTTTTTTTTTTTTTTTTTTGGAGACGAGTCTCGTTCTGTTGCCCAGGCTGGAGTCCAGTGGCATGATCTCGGCTCACAACAACCTCCACCTCCTGGGTTCAAGGGATTCTCCTGCCACAGCCTTCTGAGTAGCTGGGATTACAGACATGTGCCACCATGCCAGGCTCATTTTTGTATTTTTAGTAGAGATGGGGTTTCACCATGTTGGCCAGGCTGGTCTTGAACTCCTGATTTTGTGATCTGCCTGCCTTGGCCTCCCAAAGTGCTGGGATTACAGGCATGAGCTAGAGCACTTGGCTTTCTTTATTTTTCTTTATTTTTAAGACAGAGTCTTGCTCTGTCGCCCAGGCTGGAGTGTAGTGGTGCGATCACAGCTCACTGCAGCCTCAACTTCTTGGGCTCGGACGATCCTCCCACCTCAGCCCTCAAGTAGCTGGGACTACAGGCACGCACCGCCACACCTGGTTTAATTTCTTGTGGAGACGGGGTCTATGTTGCCCAGGCTGGTCTTTAACTCCCAGACTCCCTACGTGCTGCGATTGCAGGCGTGAACCACTGTGCCTGGGCTTTTGGAGCCACATCTGCCTGCTTCTGTGTCTGTGATAGGGTCCCAGGGTCTTAATTCCTGCGTGCTGTGGCCGCTCTGGAGCGAACTCATGACAGCAGGGAAGGTGGGGGTGTGGCTGCCCTCCCTGGGCTGCATGGGAACGCATGGCTCCGTGTCCTGAGACGGTGGCTGAGACAAGAGACGGAGCCGGCTCATGCTTAGTGTTTTATTTCCTCAAAGGAGCCATGCCACTGGCCCTCCCAAACACCTGGTATCCTTCCCATTCCCACCACTCCCAACTGTCAGATTCCGTTCAGCTTCCTCCAGTCTCAAACCAACCACTTCCTTTTCACAAGCTCAGACCTTCCAAACATTTTAATAATGAATACATGTTAAATAGCAGCTCTCACTATTACAGAAAGGGGAGCGAGAAAAAAGTTTAGTCCTACTCTGTGCACAAGACTGCAACACCCCGCTCGTAGAAGCTGCGAGGATCTTCCTTTGTAGCAATTTCAAAGTCGACGGTGAAGATAAGGTCTGCACGGGTGAAGTTCAGGTAGACGGGTAGGGTCACCTGCAGGATAAGCAGAGGGGTTTACTGGTGGCTGGAGGGAAAAGTAAGAAAACAGCTGACAGGCCCTGGCAGGAGAGAGGCTTAGACAGGTATGAAACGGTTTTCCTCTACAAACTCCATTCCCAGGTCCAAGCAGAACCCAGGCATGGAGAGGGGCCTGTGGAGTGCAGGGAAGGCGGCGCGTGCTCACCACAGTGGCCTTCTTCTCCGAATTGGTCTGCTTCACCCAGCGCAGCTGCGTCAGGGGCAGGGCGGTTGAGATGGCGTTGGACAGTGACAGCTTGTTGTTGTTGCATGTGGCCCCTTGAAGTTTCAAACCTGTGAGGCGGAAGCCAAAACCCAGACTGAGGTGAACACGACAGCTACGTCAACCCCGGTCACAGGCTGACCAACACGATGGCTCCACCCCATCAACAGTTGGTCACCTGCAGGTAGGCAGGCTGGCCAAGCTACAGGCCAGGTGCTCATCACCTGCAGAGATGAGCCAGTATTTTCTGTGAGGTTCCACTTACCTGTGACGCCAAAGCTGCAGGCGTCAAGGGTGGCACTCTGTGAGGTGGTGACGTTGACTTCCAGGCAGAGCTCCTCCAGGGACCAGCTGTTGGCCTGGGCCACGTACTGCCTGGTGGCAGTGATGTACGCCTCAGGCACGAACAGGCCACCCAGGCACACGTGGATGTTCTGTGGGAAGCAGCACCCCGGGAAAGGAGCTCAGGTCAGACCCGGGCCTTGTTTGTCCCCAGAGCTGCTGCTGCCCACCCCAGACTCATCAGGAGCGCCTTCACCTTCAGTTCCTTGGCGCCACCAGACGCGGCCGCCTGTGAGATGTTCTGCAGCTGTTTGATCCTCTCGCTGAAGTCGGACACCCACTGGATGACCGTCATGCCGGCAGGCACCGTGTAGTGGGACCAGCTCCGAGGCAGGATTCCTGCAGCCAAGGCACACAGAGCCGGGGTGGTGTCAGCTCTCACAGCTCCCCCCGCACAGATGGAACAAATCTGCCAGTGCGCCCATGTCCCGGCTGCCCACACAGGCGGCTGGCGCCTCCACCTCCTGCCTTTCCAGGCTGTGCTTTATGCCCCTGGCGCCGCCCTCACTGCTGCATCTGCCCTAGCTCAGGCTGGTCCAGAGCATGTCTCAGAACCGTGCAATTTCGAGGGTCAAATTAGTCTGGGTGTGTCTGTCTGGAGGACCATAATGACATCCAAGTAAAACTGCAGCTAAAAACTCACGTCAAACAAGCAGCTCAGTGTTCCTGGTGATGAGGGCTCTTGGGGCAGACAGGTGGATGCCGGGGGCTCCTCACAACTTTGGACAAGCCCCCCAGGCCCAGCTGCCCCTGCTTTTCCACTGTCCTGGGGGACACCCATTCTTCGCAGACCACAACCTACCACTGTCCCTCACTGGCTTAGGCCACCATGTCCCCATTCACTGTCTTGCAAGACCCTAAAAAACTGTTAAAGTTGCATAAAGATTTTGGCCAACATTCAGTGAACCAGCAAGAAGACAAATTCTTGGGCATTTCTAAGCTCCCCCACCACGCCCACCTGGAGGGAAAAGGGCACGGAGCTGCTCTCAGAGGGAAACTCCCGCAGGCCTGGCTCTCAGCGAGAGCTGCTGTGTGACTGGGCTCGGTCACGGCCCCAGGCCAAGGCCCCTGGGAGAAGACCTGGCCGCTAAGGCGCTGGGCTTCAGGTGCCCGCAGGCTGGCATCTCACGCACCTTTCACCAGCTCGTTGATCAGTGTGCGCAGGTAGTTGGTCTGCTTCTTCTTTCCTTCGCACACCTGGACGACATCCGCGAGGTCCTGGCGAACGTCCTGAAGCAGCTTCGCGCCCATCTTCACTTCTCTCTCAAAGAACCTGAACAAAGGATCCTAAAATCGTTCAAAGAGAAGAGAAGGCCAGGGTGAAGAGAAGTGAGGAAGATGTCCTTTCTCAGGCAGAAAGATCCGGCAGAAGTAACTCAGCCTCCGGGACAGCCCCAGAGCTCCTGACCTGCCCAGGGTCATGGACAGTTTTGGCAGAGCCTGGCCTGGAACGGAGCTCACGTGAGGCTGCGGCTGCTCAGAAACCCACCGAGGCCCCTGCCTGAGCCGCTCTCTAGGGAGGAAGGGCTGCGGCTGCTCGCTTTGGAAGCTGTCTGCCTATCTCGTGGAAGAAAGGCAGACAATCTCCTGGAGTGTTTTCAGTCCATTTCAAAAGGGTCAACTCATCTTGCCCAATGCCTGGACACCCGCTCTGAGGCGACAGTGGGCGCGAGCGCATTCCGTCCAGCACGATGGAACCAACGGTCCACGGAAGGACAGTCCAGGATCGTCTCCAGCACCCGGGACCCTGGGACCTGGCCGGCTCGCTGCCCTCCTAGCTACCTTGATGTTCTCCACGGTGCGCTTGAGGTGGCTCAGCGTCTGGGGGATGAGGTGGAGCCAGTTGGACGCGGTGGTGTGCAGCGTCCGCATCCAGGCGGGGCGCCCGTCGGACGTGGAGTCTGTCCTCGTCTTCTTCTCGGTCTCAGCGTAGGCCAGGTCGTCCTCGTCCTCCAGCATCTGCATCTTCAGCATCTTACTGATCATGTCCACACCTGGGCCACAGTCGCACAGTCGCAGCAGGAGGGAGGGAGAGGACAGGCAAGAAATCACAGAGGAAAAAAGGTTTTGAATGTAAAGGCCACAGGTGAGTCTGCACTGGGAGCTGCAGCAATCTGAAAGGTGC